AAGGTGGAGTGTGCAACCATGGATGGTGATGCTGGCAGCACCCCAGGTTAGGAGGAGCTGATGGGAGCCAATCAAGGAGAGCCTCAGTCTTGTTGACATTCAACTGAAGAAAATTAGCTCTCATCCAGGACTTGATGCCTATCAGACATTTTATCAGGACAGCAGTGGTCCTGGAGTCAAGAGTGGAGCCAGAGAAATACAATTGGGTTTCATCCGCATACATGTGGAAGTTGAGCCCATGTCACCAAGAGGGAGCATGTAGATATTGAAGAGGAGGGAACCAAGGACAGAGCCCTGAGGAACCCGCACAAGATGGTGCATGGGGTAGAGGAGAAACCGTTTGTGGAGATGAAGTGGAGGTGATGTGAGAAGTATGATCTGAACTAGTCACAGATGGAGCCATAAAGGTTGAGGCGAGAGGAGAGGCGGTGGATGAGGATAGAGTGGTTGACAGTGTCGAAGGCAGCAGAGAGGTCAAGGAGGATAAGAGGCAGAGGGAGCCCTGGTCACAGATGGACAGAATGTCATTTCTTGCTTTGAACAACGCTGTTTCTGTGTTGTGGGCGGCACAGAAACCCAATTGGAGAGGTTTGTGAAGGGAGTGGTGGGAGAGGAAGGAATGAAGTTGAGAAGCATCAACTCATTCCAGGACTATGGAGAGGAAAGGGAGGTTGGAGATGGGTTGGTAGTTTGGGAGTAGAGATGGGTCCAAGGAGAGTTTTTTAAGGATAGGAGTGATGATGGCAGTTTTTAATGGGGTGGGAACATACCAGAAGACAGGAAGAGGTTTAAGATGTCAGTGAGTAGAGGGGCAAGAGGTATAGCTGGGAGGTAAGGAGTGGCATACGGATTGGGTCGAGGGAGCATGTGGTCGGTTATAGTTGTGATAAGAGAGGATGGGGAGACAGGTTCGAAGATGTGGAAGGAGGAATGAGTAGAAGCCATGGTGGGAGGGGGAGATGGGGATTGGGTAGCAGATGGAATGGCAGAGGCAGTTGAGCAGATTTCCTCGACTTTGTGTTCGAGGAAGTCCAGCATCGCCTCGCAGTTGGCATTGGAGGTGAGGATTGATGAGGTGTAAGAGGGTGGGTGCAGGAGCCAGTTTGTGATGGAGAAGTGGAGCCTAGGGTTGTTCTTAGCTTCCAAGCTTGTCTTGGAGTAGAACGATGAAATAGTGGTGGTGAGGGCAGAGCGGTAGGATTTGATATGGCCCAGCCAGATCTGCTGATGGACCATTAAGTTTGATTTAAGCCAGGTGCATCCAGTGGGACACACCTGTGCTTTAAGGGAGCGTAGGTGGCTGGTGTACCAAGGTGACTTACATGAATAGGAGACGGTTCGGGAAGAGAGTGCAGCAAGGGAATCGAGAGTGGAAGAGAGGGAGCTGTGTAGAAGCGTTACCGAGGAGGATAGGTCCTTGCTTGAGGAAGTCCAGAGGAAAGGAGTTCAGATGACTCCAAGGCAGCCGAGAGGGAGGGAGATTTTTTTCCAGGGGCGGAGGTGGGGAGAGGGATTGAGGAGTTAAGGGAAATTATGTGATGGTCTGAGATCAATTTGTCAATGATGGTGAGGTCCGAGATGGTGAGGCCCCGACTGATCACTAGGTCGAGAAGATGACTGCAGACGTGGGTGGTGGAGTGGATGTGGAGATTGAGGGAGGAGATAAAGGAGGAAAAGTCAGCAGAGGTAGAGCAGGAGGAGTGAAGAGTGAAGGTTGAAATTGCCTGGAATGAGGAGGCATTCAAAACAGAGGAAGATAGAAGGGCGGAGATATCCATCAGCGGAAGGGCTTTCAGCCTCTCTGCCTCCACACTTTGGAACTCCATCGCACAATCCTTTCTCCTTGCTTCCTCCCTTGTCTCCTTCAAGGCATAACTGAATAACCTTCTTTTCAACCATGCCTTCAGCCACCTTTCTAGCTCTCTGCCCTCCCTCATCCCAACCTGCCCCCCCTATGGTCCTGATCCCCGACTGTTCAGCACCTTGGGATGTCCTCCTGATGTGAAAGGCAATTTACAAATGTAATTTTGTTGTTTTTGTTGTATATGTTGGATCTTGCTTTGGTCAGTATTAAATTTCTTTTGCTATTTTTCAGCCATGTGCATAACTTATTGAGCTCTTGGCATAAAGGCATCCCTAATAATCCTTTACATTTCATATTGAGAGAATGTCCCGAAGATTCATAGGAACACTGTAAAGTGTAGTAAATGTCTGCTTTAGAGACAAAAGTTGGAGCAAATTTGCACATAACAGTGTCCCACAAATAGCTATAAAGTGAATTCCAAATTTTTATTTGGGGGTTGTTGGCCAGTACACTGGAAAAACTCTTGGCTCTTCTCAAATAGTGCCACGGGAGCTTCAACAACCACCTGGACAGGCAGACACACAGGTCCTTCTTTTAATGACTCATCAACAATGCTGTACACCCTCAGCACTACAATGGCGTGTCAGGTTGTATGGTTCCATCTTCCAATATAGAGAGCTGATACCACCTTGAAAAGATTCCTCACCCCTGTCAGTGTCAATGCTTGTTTGCTGCCCCTGATACAGTGGGTGGTGGGGTGAAAAGTTAGGTGTACACAGGTTATCTCCATGGTTGAACTGATGGAGACAAGGCACCAAGTCTCCAATAATCAAAGGTACTCTTTATAGTTAATCATCTCGGTCTCTGTCCTCAGTAAGGCTTGGACATATAGACACAGAGGTAAGCTGGGTCTTCTTGGAACTGAAATTGCTGCAAGCTGACACGTTTGGAAATGTAATGTCAGAATCGAGCGAACCTTCTGTGGCAATCTATGTTTTCCAGTTTCTGAGCCAAGTGAGTTGCCAATACTCCAGGGCACTGTTGGTGACATACCAGCCAGCCTAGAGGGGAAGGATCTGGAGGAGTAAGGGATTAGGCCAAGTGAGTACCTGGTAATGAGAGCTTCACCACCTGGGAATGGGGATAGGATTGACAGGAATGTGGATGGGGAGGAGAGGTTTGTCCCCGGGATGTGTGACTGGCTTGTAGTGGAAATGGGTGATGGGGCAGGTAGTGTGATTCCAAAGACTTCCCATCACTCAGAGGATACAGTTCAACATCCAGATCGTCACCTTCAAAGCCCTCCACGGCCTTGCTCCCTCGTATCTCTGTGACTTCATAACCCCATACCATCCTGCCAACTCCCTCAGCTCGGCAGGCTGCGGCCTGAGTTACGTCCCCTGCCTCGCCCGCCCCACCATTGGAAGGTGGTTCTTCTGCAATGTGCCCCCACCCTCTGGAACTCCATCTCGCAGTCCCACCACCTCGCCTCCTCCCTCGCCTCCTTCAAGACCGATCTCAAGACCCTCCTCTTTGACCGTACTTTCGATCACCCTGCTTCCCCCCCTGCGCTCCACCCTCCCCAATTCTGACCCCCAGCTCGGGTCTGAAACACCCACTCCCAGCACTTTGGAATGTCCTCCCGACGTGAAACACGTTTTACAGATGTAATTGTGTTGTTGTTGTTCTTGTTGTTGTTGTTGCTGCTGGATAGGTGGTGTCTATATGTTTTCCTCATCCCAAAAATCTTTTATTTCAGCTCACAAGTTACAAATCGAACAATCCTACCAAAAACCCACTACTCAGTTCTCCCTGCTTCGTGTTTTTCTACCTCCTGATCCACTTTCTTTGGTCCTAGTTAATTGGTCCTTATTGTTTTTGGTCCTTGGTTCTTATTAAACAGAGGGAACCCATCACCACAGTCACCCAAATAAGTGACAGAGAATTGATATCATCTTCAAAAGATTCCTCACCCGCCCTCCCCTCCCGTCAGTGTCTTTGCTTGTTTGCTGCCCCAGACACAGTGGGTGGTGGGGTGAAAGGTTAGGGTTCGTTCCATGGTTGAACACAGAGTCTCCAATCGTCAAAGTCCCTCTTCATAGTTAACCAGCTCGGTCTCTGTCCTCGGTAAGGCTTGGACATATAGGCATGGAGTCTTCTTGGAGCTGAAATTGCTGCAAGGTGACACGTAATGTAATGTCAGACTCAAACAAACCTTCAGTGACAACCTATGTTTTCCAGTTCCTGAGCCAGGTGAGTTGCCAGTACTCCAGGGCACTGTTGGTAACATCCCAATCAGCCTAGAGGGGAAGGATCTGGAGGAGTAAGGGAATAGGCCAAATGAATACCTGGAGATGAAGGTCACACCACCTGGGTAGGGAGTTAGGATTGACAGACAGGGTGGGAATGTGGATGGGGAGGAGAGGTTTGCCCTCAGGGTGTGTGACTGGTGGGTCTTGTGGCGGAAATGGGTGATGGGGCAGTTAATGTGATTCCACTGGCTTCCCATCACTCAGAGGATACAGTTCAAGATCCTGGTCCTCACCTTCAAAGCACTCCATGGTCTTGCTACCCCTTACCTCTGCAACCTCTAAAACCCCTACCATCCTGCCTGCTCCCTCCGCCCAGTGGGTTCCAGCCTGCTTCACGTCCCCTGCCTCGCTCACCCCACCATTAGTGGGCGGACCTTCTGCCACTCTGCCCCCACCTTCTGAAACTCCATCCCGCAGTTCCTCTGCCTCGCCTCCTTCCTTGCCTCCTTCAAGACCCATCTCAAGACCCTCCTCTTCGACCATGCTTTCAATCACCCTGCTTCCCCTCTGCCTCCACCCTCCCCAATCCTGAACCCCAGCGCCTTGGGACGTCCTCCAGACGTGAAAGTTGCTTTACACATGTAATTGTATTGTTGTTGCTCTTGTTATTGTTGTTGTTGCTGCTGGACAGGTGAGCGTGACAGAGGATTCCCAGGCTGGAGCAGTGGGAGAGCTGTGGGACAAGAAGTGGGAGGCAGATAGAACTGTAGGAGAACTGAGTGGAATAATGGATGGTTCCGCACATATGCTTGGTGGGGGTAGGGGAGGGGTGGGAGGGTGAAGAGAACCCCAGGGGAGTGAATTCCCAGCCAACAGTACCATGTGTTTCGGGATGGGAGGTGAATGAGACTCAGAGCTGGAGGCAGGAAAGGGAATGTGTGACTCAATGGCCCCATTTTACTGGTTTACTGGTTAAAGGAGAAGTGTCGCCCACTCCGTTATGTTAGTAACACAGCCCTGCCTCCACGGTACAGACTCACAAAGCATCAGCGGAGGGACAGAGCGGTTGACAAGAGTGTTTGTGCAGGAGGATAGCAAGTCAGTGAGTAAGGGGCGATCTCACACTGTCTGTCTGTCTGTTTGTCTGTGTAAAAGCACTCGCTCTCTCTCTGCAGTCAGTGTGGGCAGCGTTTAACGTGATGTGTCTGTGGTCTGTTCTGTGGCTGTTTTGTTTCTGGTAACTTCACGCTGTAGTTTAGCAGATGGTTTATTATAACCTGGATATGGGATTTTATACAAAAGGATAAAGAGGCTCCAAAGTGATCTGTCCTGTTGGATTTGAGAGAATTGTAAGATTGAGTGATGATTATTATTATTATTTTGTAACTCCCATTCCCAGATCCCTCTGACTGCACTTTCAGTCATCTTCCCCCCCCACTCATCTCACACCCTCATCTCTGGTGACCAGCCATAATTGTCAAGTGCTTTGGGATGTCGGCCCAACGTGAAAGGTGCGGTGTATGTGTCAATTGTATTGTACAGATGACCAAAAAGTCATAATACCATTACAGTGTCTCTTAAGTCTTAAAGAAATTATGATAATAATTGGTCATTATTACTAAAATAAATGGTATGATAAGCCACTATATCAAAAGCAAGGATTATTGTTATTCCCTTGTATTAGTATAGCATTATACTGTCCAAGACGCTATTCCTCAGATGAGACGTTAAACTGAGGGAGTCACGTCGCAACTCAGTTCACTTTAGGGAGTTTGAGTGATTCAGTGATCATTTCTGACAGAGCATCAGTTTGGCCCAATTAGTAGGAGACAGCCGTGGGCAGAGAGAAGCTATGAATTTAAAAAACATGTTTGGACTTAATCATTCGCAAACTAGTCCAGCCTGGATAATAGTCAGTATCCAGTCAGACACATCAACCCACCCAAGAGTCCTGTAGCTCTTGTGGAGTCCTGTAGCTCAGTGGTTAGAGCACTCGCTTTGCAAGTGAGAAACCTGAGTTCAATTCCAGGCAGAGGGCCAAACCTTGGGCAAGTTTCCTTACTCCACACAGAGCCTAATAATAATCCCTCCAAAACAAAACAATAATAAATTGGTCATTTTCAATCTACGACTGTTTGTGGGACATTGCTGTGCGCAATTGGCTGCCGCGTTCGCCCACAAATATACAGTCAATTCACTTTACAGTATATTCTGTGAAGCGCTTTGGTATGTCCTCCCGACGTGAAACGCGCTATATCAAATGCAAGGATTATTATTATTATTATTATTATTAAGAGAGAGCCCCAGGAAGGTTGCTCAGATGTCAGTTTGGCTCAGTCTCTCCTCTGAGTCAGAAGTGTTCAAGCCCCAAGTTTGCACTTGGAACTCACATAATCTATGATGAGGCTCCAATACAGTGCTGAGGGTTCGTTGCATTGTTATTGATGCCCTCCTTCGCCTACAAAATACACAGTCACTACACTTTACTGCTATGAAACCTTTAAAGAAATCCTCCTGGTGTGAATCTCGCTGTATCGAATGCAAGGATTATTATTCCCAGTAATACCCCGTTACGTGTTCATTCCTCGCAGATTACGGCTTGGATCGGAGTTATTTTACTCTGTCGCTCACTGAGCTGCCGACATGCAGTGTGGCACGTGCCTTCTTCTGGCCGCTTCGGTCTGGCTCGGGACGGTGAGTGCAGTCACCAAATCCATCGCATTACCACCAGAAATGGGTAAGTGTGCCCCCCTCCCCTCTCCCAGCACACTGCTCACCTCAGAGCAGCCCTGAGACAAAGTGCGGTAAAACCAGCTTGTGTGGAATGTCGAGTGACCGGCATTAGTGTCAGTGCCTATCACTGAGATCAGCCGTGGGGTTTAACAGTGTTTATTGGGCTGGAGCCACAATCACTGCTTCGGCATTGTCGCTCCTGCATCGCGGGAAAGAGTGGTTGTCTGCCGCTCGATTCAGATTTAGCCTCTGTGATTCACGTTGTGCTTGGTCAGACATTTCTGGGTTCTCTCCGACCCTCTGATCCCTTGCCCCCATCTCCCTTCCTACCAACCCCCGCACACTTTTCCCCTTTTCCTCTCCCCTTCCCCTCCCCTCTCATCCTTTCCCCTTACTTCACTTTCACCCTCCTCCTTGCACATCCTCCTTCCCCTCCTCCCTCCCACTCCTCCCTCCGTTTCCCCTGCACTGCTGTCTCAAAATCCTACTCTTCAATCTTGCCTTTGGTCTCCCTCCCACCTCTCTGCCTTCCCTCACCCCTACCCCAAACCTCCCCCATGCTCGGGCCCCGACAACTGACTATTCAGCAATTTGGGATGTCCTCCCCACGTGAAAGGCGCTCCATAAATGTAATTTTGTTGTTGTTGTTGCTGTTGTTGCTGTTCTCCATTGTTGTTTGTGACGCTTTGTCACAACTTCCCTGTGTGTTTTTTTTACTGATGCAGGTGCCCGGATTCCAAACAAGTCCTGGATTCAAAACGTTTCCTGTATATTTTATGATGAAATCTACATGAACTGCACATGGGATATTAGTGAGAGCGCACCACAGAAACAGCAGTTTGTGTTATATTACAAGTAAGGGTGAACTGCTTCAGACTGAACTGCTGTCTGTTAATGTTTCTCTCTGCCTTTTTATTCCTATTTCTATCCATCGTTCCATCTGACTGATTGCTGTGGATTGCTGAAAGATTCGCTCCTTCTTTCTCACTCACTGTCTCTCACGCACTCCCATCTCCAAGTCAGAATGTTGTGGGTTGAAGCTCCCGCGTCGGGATTTTGAAGTCACGTAGAATGACTCTCTGCGTTGTGGGAGGTGCCGTCCTTCAGATGAGATGTTTAAACCGAGGTCCCGTCCGTGCCTGATCAGGTGGACATTAAATATCCTGTGGCACTACTCGAAAAGAAATGTTAGTTTCCCACTTGGGGTCCTGACCAATATCTCCCAAATACAATCTGTCATACACTTCATGGCTGTGTGTGGGACATTGCTGTGCGTAAACTCACAGTCGCTGCTCTTTACAGAATATCCTGTGAATCCCTTTGGGATGTTACTCAAATTTCTAAGCATTGTGGAACCTGGGCCACAGACACCTAATTTTCTTCAGAAATTAGAGTGCTCTCTTTTCTAGCAAGATCCACCCTTCACTTCTTGCCCAGACAAGTTTTACATGTCCATGTCGCTTATGAAGAAATTTACATGCATATCATAATAATAAGAGATATAGAGAAGTCTTGATTAAGTCATGATGATCTTTGCAGACAGGTAAGGACTGGGGTGCCGGGATCTGGAGCTACCATTCACTTCTTCCATGTTTTTTTTCAAGAAATCACAAAAAGCGTTTTGCAAAGTGCAAGTCCCAGCGTTCGGGTGACCGGGGACATGCCTCCTGCTATCTTCAAGGAGTGACGAGTTATTATAACATATTATATCTCCGCATCAACGCATCGAAAAACATTGTGTTTGAAACAGACATTGAACCGCTGTTGGATTTCTGTGAGTCATTGTTTACAGCGACTGCTCTTTCCTTGTGCACCTCATCATCCACTTGTATTTAGTAAAGGATTTTTCACATTGGAAGTACATTTCACAGTGCTTCGAAGCATTCACCGTTAAGTGTAGTGACTGTGTGTTTTAACAGTGAATGTCCAATTTTGTACCAGTGTCTCCCTGCTGTCCTGGCAAGTTATTATTGTTGATGTTGGTGCTATAATCCTCCAGATACGTTTGCTCATTCACTTCATGCTTGTGACATTGGTCAGTTGGCAGGACTTGGAGGGCAAATCATTCGGCTACTTGGAACCCTGCAAATTAAAGCCCCTGCGGGTAGTGTGGTCCGAGCTGAACAATCAGTGGGAAGCTTGACAGGCAGTGCTCTCAATGACAAGCTGGTGCGGTTTTGGCTCTTTAAACTCCAGCACTTATCCCAACACACACTCCAGTGTCCCCAATCCTTGGCTCTCGCAACCCTGTGCCTAATACTCTCCAGAATTAGATAAACAGGATGTTTCCCTCCAGGGAGAGAGAGTGCGCATTGCAATCCCGACATGGGAAAACTTCAGTGTGTGCGTGGGATGTATATGTGGAAATCTCAGTCTGGATTGGAGACTCTTAAACAGCAATTTGCATTTATATAGCGGCCTTCACTCCAGACGGCATCTCGGAGGGCTTAACAGTGGCAGAGCCCGATGCTGTGCCAGGGAGAGGGGGAAGGTGACCGTAGGCACATTCGAAGAGGAAACCATGGCATTGGGTTTCCGTGCATGTCGCGCACCAGCTGAACAAGTAAAAAGCAGCTGGACAGTGAGTTCAGGGATTCTCTCCTTCATTAAAATGCACATCAGCACAGGGGAGCACAGCCCTGTGTCTGTGATGAACTGGTTAAGGATGTTGCACTCGAGCTGTTTCTGCTTGCCCTGATGACACTGGAAAGGAATGTGAATGTTAAACCATCTCTCAATGATTACAGATAAGTTGAGGCCTCCAATCAACGTAACAGTGTTGAAGAACAATGCGATCACTTGGGAAAACATTCCTTTTAAAATTTTCGAAGAATGTTTCACTTATCAACTAAACTTCACAACCAGCAATGGATGGTTTACAGAGGTAAATGTGTGTATGCGTGTGAGCTTGGTGACTGTTAATGGGGTAAAACAATAATAATCCTTGCATTTGTTATAGCGCCTTATCACATCTTCGAGATGTCTCAAAATGCTTCACACAATATACTGTAAGTGCATTAACTGCATATTTTATATTTATTCAAAGAATAATAATTTGGTCATTTAATCCACGACTATAAGTGGGACACTGCTGTGTGTAATTGGCTGCTGTATTTTGCCCATTACAGTATATTCTGTGAAGTGCTTTGAGATGTAGTGAAGACACGATAAGGCGCTATATCAAATGAAGGATTGTTATTATTATTTTGTGGGTGAAACATGGCAGCCAATTATGCAGAGCAGTGTTCCACAAACAGTCATGGACTGAGTGACCAAATTATTTTAATTATATGTTTTAACTGATTATTACCCTCCGCAAAAGCAAAGGATGAAGCTGATGAACACCTACTACTGGTTTGACCTGCAACTAATTTCTTGTCCTCCTTGGAAGGGGAAAGTGAGGATACACTTGTCAAACATGGTGAGCTTGGCAACATATTGAGTCACCCTTCTGTAGCGCACTGCTGATGACAGCCCAGCCCAGCCTGGCTCATCGGTGGGTAGGACTTAGAGTGGTCCCAGCTGGACAAGGAGCAGTAACGTGTTCCCAGCTTGTGTTCTCAATGGCGAGCTGTGCAATTTTAACTAGCTACGCTTCAGCAGTTCACCAAATCACACTCTGTAAACCTGAAGTCTTGGCTCTCACCAGCCTGTGACTAATACTCTCTGCAGTAAATAGAGTAGGAAAGCAGAATGCATCCCTAGAGGGAGAGAGGATACACCTTCTATTCCAAACACAAGTTTGAAAGCTCTGGAATACATGTGTGGAACTCCCAGTCTGGTTTGGACACTGTTAAGCACGTGATGGGTTTCTGCATGGGTCAGACACTCAGTTAATCAAGAAAAATAATGGCTAATTTCTCCTCTTAGACATCAGACTGGAACAATTACAACTTAGAAAAGAAACTGAACACATTTACAGTAAAAGTAAGGTCTCGTGTTGGCGAATTTTACTGTGGAGATAGCCAAATATGGAGCGACTGGAGTGAAAGTGTCAACGTAGGAAAAGGTAATACAATTTTTCTCTTGTGCACTGGGAGACCTGGAGTGTCAGCACTATATGAGCTTAAAGTCCTACCAACTGAGCCAGGCTGGTATCTCTTTGCTAAGCACTAAATATACACACACTGGGATCTAACATGCAATATTTCTTTGCCCGTTTCTTAGTAAAGAAATGCATACCCAATTGCAATGTCCAACTTGCATAAGTTGTAACAAATATGACTTATGTAATGCTAAGTATAAATCAGGTTTATATGACCAACACATAACAAATATAGGAGTATGCAACTGGCTGTTGAAATTAAGGGATGGTTTCAAAATGGAAATTTACAGACTCTTCATTTTCCAGAACAACCATTTTCATGTACTTTTTAACCTGCTTTATTATCGGTAAATGTTTCATTTGAATGTTGTTGTTGAATGTTGCTGTTGCCTTCCCTAATTTACTTATTGGTGGGTGGGCCTTCCGCCACTCTACACCCACCCTCCGGAACTCTGTCCCACAGTATCTCTGTCCCGCCCCCCCCTCCCTTGCCATCTTCAAGACCCACCTCAAGACCCTCCTTTTCGACCATGCTTTTGATCTCCCTGCGTCTACCCCCACCCCTGCTCTCCACCCTCCCCCACCCTGATCCCCCGTAACTCAAGCACCTTGGGACGTCCTCCCGACGTGAAAGACGCTATACAAATGTAATTTTGTTGTTGTTGTTGTTTATTGAGGTATTTTTGCAGTGGAAGATAATACAAATATATGAAGAGTTGAAGAGCAATGTTCAGAGTCCATTTAATTGTCTCAGTTGTAAACGGAGATACATGTAGTCTCATAGAGGGTGACCAAAAAGTTATGATAACTACCCTATTATCTAAAAAAATTCTGTGAAGCACTTTGAGATGTTGCAAAGACGTGATTAGGTGTGATATCAAATGCAAGGATTATTAATATTATCTCTCATCATTTAATTAAGATTCATGCAACATTGTTATGGTATTGGGACTTTTTGGTCACCCTGTACTTCACACAACTGTCAGTTAGAAGGAAGCGGAATAACAATTATACAACTTGTAATGCCACAACTGCACTTGCCGTTACTGAAATTATTGGCTACCAATGCCAAAACTTTGTCTCAGTTTGGTTTGGATACTCTTAAGCAAGGCAACGTCCCATAAGCATGGTGATGGATATCTGCATGGGTCAGCCACCCGGCTGACATTAAGAACAAAGCTTTGTGTGCAAGTGATGATGAATGAATTGACACTATGTTTTACTGTAATCGAAGCAGAAGATCAAGAAACAGCAGCTGCCAACAATTCATACATTGTGTATAATAATTCATGCCTTGTACCTGGTATATTGGAACAAAGGCCCCAGAGATAATCATGTACTTTCCATACTACGGGTAAGCTCCTGCAACAGACAGACAGCAAAAAAACCTCTACACTCACCAATCTACACCTAAACCTCTCCAGACAGACACATTTACAAATTCCTTGTGTAGATGAAACTCTGTCTGGTTCAAATACTGTTTAGCACAGCGACGGGTTTCTACCCTGCTGACCAATTTCTGGAGGTACATCCACGTGTCAGAAAAATGTGGAAACCCATCACCGTACTAAAGAGTAACCAAACCAGACTGATACTTCCAGTATCCCACCTCCACATGGAAATTCTCATTTATTGGAACGCAATGTGGACTGCCTCCCTGGAGGGACATGGTCAGTCGGGATGGCCACCAGGTGTAACTGCAGCTGAGAACAGGAAACGGAAATACGCTCATAAATCATGAACCATAGTAGATACTCGAAAGCAAACATGCCCACCTAACTCCAAGCTTCAAGATGTTTCCGATGAGGTACAAATGATGTATCTATGTCCATTGGCTATTGAGATCCTTTTTGAAGCGGAGACAGACATTGTTGTTTTATCAGTATAAACACAAGAAGATAGACAGATTCTGCCCCTCATTTCCCAGGTGTAGACCGTGAACGAATATATAGTCAAGGTTAACATCCCAGTGCAGTCCTTGGTGGAGGGTGGGGGTTGCTGTGTGTTGGCAGAAGTACCATCCTTCAGATGAGAAATTAAGCCAAGGTCCAATCTGCCTGTTGAGATGGACGTTAATGATTCTGCGGTGCTACTCAAAAATTAAAAGCGAGTTTCTTTGCAGTGTCCAGACTAAACAATCCTGTGAAGAGCTTTGAGGAATCTTGATGCTGTAATAAGGTGCGATACCAAATGCAATTATTATTAATATTATTATCTGGTACAATTTTACCAAATAAATTGCATTAAAAATAAACAAACGTACAAACACACCCATGCTTTGGATTGAGATTCTCCCAGTGTCCTGGCCGACAATCCCACAAATCAAAATTTGGTCAGTGATTTCATGGCTGTGCGGGGGACATTGCTTTTTTTAAAAAAAAAGCAGTCACTACACTTTACAGTAAGTCCTGTTAAGGGCTATGGTATGTCCTCTCAATGTGAAAGGTGTTGTCAAATGTAAGTATTATGATATAATTTAACAGGGTAAAATTTCCGGCGTTCCTTATTTAATACCGGCAAAAACTATGATTCACCAGGTGGCAGTGCCCCATCGGAGAAAGTGATTTCTTCTATTCCAGAAGGCAGTATCTGCTATTTGTTTTGACTCGGAGGTGGTTGGCTATTTCATTTCCTGTTTTGTCTTGTAGGAAGTTCCTCTGTGGAAAGAAGGAGACGGATGAGAAGAAAAAGAATTCCCTTTCACTCAGAGTGACGTCATATCAAAGCAACATCAAGATCAGAAGAGAAGTTCAAATGCAGACTTCCCTTTGGCCCATCTAATATCATGCTACCAGATTAACCCATCCTCCTGTCCTCCCACCACAGCATCGAGCTGTTTCTTAAATGAGACCCAGTGTCCTGGCCTCAACCATCATTCCTGTAACCCCTTCCACTCTTTAATTAAAAAGTAGAACATTCCTGAATTTTCCCTTTACAACCCTAAAACTGTGCGCTCTTGTTCTGTTGTACCTAAAAGTAGAGTTCTGGGTTTACTCTTTCAATCCTATTTAAAATCCTATACACCGTTATAAGGTCCCATTTGAGGCATTTTCTTTGCGAGACTGTAGCTTGGCTAATCATTGCTCCTACCTCATTCCTCTAACACTGGGGATCATCCTTGTTGCTTACCCAAGGGCAGAAGTGCCATCCTTCAGATGAGACATTAAGCCGAGGTCCAATCTGCCTGTTGAGGTGGACGTTAATGATCCTGCGGTGCTACTCAAAAATTAAAAGCGAGTTTCTTTGCAGTGTCCAGACTAAACAATCCTGTGAAGAGCTTTACTTGACAGTGACCAGATCTGTGTGCAGGACTCAAGGTGTGGCCTGAGGGCAGCACTACAAGCTTGTCTCTGACTCAATCACAATAATAATCCTTGCTTTTGATACAGCGCCATATCACGTCTTCAAGACGTTCTCAAATCGCTTCACAGAATATGCTGTAAAGTGGATTGACTGTATGTATTTGTGTGCAAAATGTGGCAGCCAATTGAGTACAGCACAGTCCCATAAAATGAGTGATCAATTTATTTTTTTTCTTGAGGGATTATTATAAGCCGTGTGCAGTAAGGAAACTTGCCCAAGGATTCCGCCTGCTGGTAATCAAACCAACGTCTCTCGCTTGCGAGGCAAACGTTCTAACCACTGAGCTACAGTTCCACTAACCACTAAATAACAAGCATCCACAACTTCTCAGAATCTGAACTAAATGGAACTGTTGTCACTTGTTGCTGAGTCCAAAACAACAATCATAAATATGAGATGACGCTGCAGATCTCACACGAAGTTCAGGAGGAACTTCTTCACACAGAGGGTGTTGAAGGTGGACGTCACTGCAGAAAGCATCAATATGTGTATCAACAAACTTGACAAATCTAACAGTAACTTACATTGATATAGTACCCCTCTCGCAGGGTAAATTCTTGGAGCGCTGAGGGGAAGGGAATAGGAGGGTGGGGGCTTTTGTGGAGTAAAATCACTGGCAAATCACAGTGGACAGAATGACCTGCTTCTGTGCTGCAGTGTGTGGTGTGGTTACATTATTTAGCTAAATAGCCCAGTTATGTTTATTGCTGCATCCACGGTTTTGACTATCGTCCTTGGGGGGTGGGGTGGAGGAGGGGAAGGTAAGTGGGGTTTCCTTAGAGCTGAACTGGCTCCAAGGTGACATGTTTGGCATCGAAATGTTGGAATAGAACCAGCCATCTGTGCCGGTCTCCAGTCCGGTTCCTGATCCGCAGTATTCCAGGTCACTGCTGATAACAGCTCAGCCTAGTTTGGCTCATCAGCAGGACTTGGCAAGGCAGACCAGTCAATGGAGGCAGGGAGTCATTCCACTCAGCTCCTGTTAACCCTACCAACCAAAGCCCTTACAGGTAGGGTGGTCCTAGCCGGACAGGCAGGGAAAAAGCTTCCCAGATAGTACTATCAAAGGGAAGCTATGAGGTTTCAGCTGTTTAGACGCCCAACACAAAATACACACAAAATATTACTTGTGCCAAAAGTGGTCATCTGGAAGCACGAGTTTTATTTCCTAAGGTTTACTAGAAAATGCTTAGAATCAATCACTTGATGTGCCATCCAGCAGACTTTCCAGGGCTTCAGGTAGCTCTGTGAGTTGCTCTGATTTCACTGAGAAACACATGGAAGGAAACTGCGTTGGCTCAATTCATGGCCCCACAGTGGGCACATGCATTGAACATTTTCCTATTATGATGGGTGCTATCGGATTCACAGTCTCTGCCTGGATCATAGTTGATCAAAGCCTGGATCACGTAAATGGAGTGTCTTCTGCTGCTGGGCATCATTTTGCCATGTTCTTGCTATGCTGTTCTTTGAGTAGGCAACTCATTTTGTCGCACTGTTGCAGTCCTTTCTTGATGTGCAGCCGCGCTGTTCTTTGTTCTTCAGTTTCATTTAATGGGCCTTCTCTCTTTTGTCTAGTATTTTTACTTATCCTTGAAAGGTTTGATTTTCTCTCAGGCATCTTTATGACGATGAATGTAAATGTATAATTTATAATTACTGGGACGTCCTCCCGACGTAAAAGGAGCTTTAAAAATGTCATTTTCTTGTTGTTTCCGTGGCTTAGCTTCACCTGTGCTCTTTATTTTGTTCTCGCCGCTTGGCTACGTGCGTGTTAGGTGACGCAAGATGCCACAGTGCCACGGTCAGCCGGCATGGCCATCAGGTGTAACTGCAGCAGAAACCGTAAAACTAAAATACATTTTAGCGCATAAGTCATGAACGATAGGAGATACCCAAAAATAAATATGCCCAGGTCACTCCAAGCTTCAAGATGTTTCCGATGAGGTACGAATAATGTATCTAGGTCCATTGGCTATTGGGATGCTTTTGAATCGCAGACAGATATTGTTGTTTTATCAGTATAAACAGAAGAAGATAGATAGATTCTGACCCTCAGTTCCCAGGTGTAGAGTGTGAACACATATATAGTCGAGGCTAACATTCCACTGCAGTCCCTGGTGGAGGGTGGGGGTTGCTGTGTGTTGTCAGAAGTGCCGTCCTTCAGATGAAACATTAAACCCAGGTCCCATCTGCCTGTTAAGGTGGACGTTAACGATCCTGTGTTACTACTCAAAAATAAAAGGGAGTTTCTTCGCAGTGTCCAGACTAAAGAATCCTGTGAAACATTTTGAGGCGTCTCGATGATGTAATAAGGCGCTATACCAAATGTAATGATTATTATTATTTGGTACAATTTTACCAAATAAATTTAATTGAAAAGAAAGAAACTTTGTAAACACAACCAGCATAAATTGAATTGACTGTAAAGTGAATAAAGTGCATCGATGGTATATTTGTGAGTGAAACGTGGCAGCCAATTACACACAGCAGTATACAACAACAACAAGATTTCATTTATAGAGCGCCTTTCACGTCGGGAGAACGTCCCAAGGCGCTGTACAGTTGGGTCAGGACCTGAGCATTGGGGGGAAATGGTCAGGGTGAGGGGAGGGAAGGGAGGGAGCGAGGAGGGGGGAAATGGTCAGGGTGAGGGAGGGAAGGGAGGGAGCGAGGAGGGGGGAAATGGTCAGGGTGAGGGGAGGGAAGGGAGGGAGCGAGGAGGGGTAGAGAGTCGAGAGGGGAGCTGAAGGCACGGTCAAAGAGAAAGGTCTTGAGACCGTCCTTGAAGGAGGAAAGGGAGGAAGCGGCGAAGGCACTGGGGGATGGAGTTTCAGAGCCTCGGGGCTGAGAGGCTGAAGGTCCGGCCACCGATGGTAGGGCGGTTGGGGCGGGGGATGTGGAGCAGACCGGAGCCGGAGGAACGGAGGGTACGGGCAGGTAGGTAGGGGGATAGTAGGTTGAAGAGGTAGGAGGGAGCGAGGCCGTGAATGGCCTTGTAGGTGAGGATGAGGATCTTGAATTCGATCCTCTGGGGGATGGGGAGCCAGTGGAGGCGAGCGAGGGCGAGGGTGAGGGCGAGGGCGAGGGTGAGGGCGAGGGTGGGAGTGATGTGGTCCCGAAGCCTGGTGCGGGACAGTACACGAGCTGCAGAGTTCTGAATGACCTGCAGTGTGGAGGGAGGGCCGGGAAGGCCGGCGAGGAGAGAGTTCCCATAGTCCAGCCTTGAGGTGATAAAGGTGTGGACCAGAGTTTCAGCCGCGTGAGGGGTGAGGTAGTGCCGTAGTCTGGCAATGTTCCGGAGGTGATGGAAGGCGGTGCCAGTTGTGGTGCGGATGTGAGGAAGAAAGGACAGCTCAGGGTCGAACAGAACCCCGAGGTTCCTGATGGCTTTGAGAGGTGGAGAGTGCAGCCTTGGATGCTGATGCTGTCAGCGCCTGAGGTGCGGAGGCGCCGATGGAGCCAATCAGGAGGGCCTCAGTTTTGTGCACGTTGAGCTGAAGAAAGTTGTCTCTCGACCAGGAGAGTATCCAAACCAAACCACAAGCAGTCGTGGATTGAAGTGACAAATTTATTATTGTTTTTTTTCTTGAGGGATTATTATAAGGCATGTGCAATAAGGAAACTTGCCCAAGGTCCCCCTACTGGGAATTGAACCAAGGTCTCTCGCTTGAGCGGCAAACGCTCTAACTGCTGAGCTACAGTTCCAGTGGTTACTGGAACCACTTGTCGTTTAGTGGTTACTGGAACCACTAAACGACAAGTCTCCATGACTTCTGAGAATGTGAATTAAATGGAATTCTTGTCACTTGTTGCTGAGTCCAAAACAACAATTATAAATATGAGATGAAGCAGCTGATCTAACGGGAAGTTCAGCAGGAACTTCTTCATACAAAGGTCGTTGAAGGTGGAACTCACTGCAGAAAGCATTAACAACAACAACAACAACAAGATTACATTTGTAAGGCGCCTTTCACGTCGGGAGGACGTCCCAAGGCACTGAAATCAATTTGTATATCAGTAAACCTGACGAATGCAGCAACAGTAACAACTTACAGTACCCCTCTCGCAGGGTAAATTCTTGGAGTGCTGAGGGAAAGGGAATAGGAGGGCGGGGGCTTTTGTGGAGTATAAACACCAGCATAGTCTATTGGACAGAATGATCTGTTTCTATCCTGCAATGTATGGTGTAGTTACATTATTTAGCTAAATAGCCCAGCAATGTTTATTGCTGCACCCACTGTTTCGACTACCTCTCCGACCTACTATCCCCCTACCTACCTGCCTGTACCCTCCGTTCCTCTGGCTCCGGTCTGCTCCACATCCCCCGCCCCAACCGCCCTACCATTGGTGGCCGGGCCTTCAGCCTCTCAGCCCCGAGGCTCTGGAACTCCATCCCCCAGTGCCTTCGCCGCTTCCTCCCTTTCCTCCTTCAAGGCCGATCTCAAGACCTTTCTCTTTGATCGTGCCTTCAGCTCCCCTCTCGACTCTCTACCCCCTCTTCTCTCCCTCCCTTCCCTCCCCTCACCCTGACCATTTCCCCCCTGCTCGGGTCCCAACCCAACTGTCCAGCGCCTTGGGAT